TTGAAAAAATATTCCCCTAATAAAATGCCACATTGTGTAATAACACATGATGAAACAACATTAGCCGCAAATGATGATAAAAAGACCGGATGGGCTCCTGAAAGTCTGTAATTTTACTTATTATTTTTTTTTATTTTTTTATTATTTTTATTAATTTTTTTTTTTTACTTTTTTTTTTTTATAAAAGGTGAACAAAAACTACGTCCAAAAGGATGAGGTAGATGTATTCACATTAGTGAATTTTTATGTGAGCCTTTGGGGCGTGTTCATTTAACTACAGAACAACACTTATCCTATCCAGAAATTCCAAACAGATATGTTACAGAAATTCTTGAAGTTGGTGCAAACCACGACGGTTATTGGAATATTCAATTGCTTGCTAAACAACTTAAACACGCGATTGATATTTTGGAAATTGCACTCCCCAATACAATCTTTGTTTTTGGGTTTGATAATAGTTCTAGTCATGGTGCCTTCGCAGAAGATGCATTAGTAGCAAGTAGAATAAATATAAAATATAGTGGAAAACAGCGCGAATACGTTCCAGTCGATTACCTGATGGTACCCCTCAAGAGATGGTCTTCCCACTTGATTATAAGAAAGAAAAAAAAAGAGGACAGCCAAAAGGGATAAAACGAGTAATGAAAGAAAGAAATATTTGGGATCAACAATTAAGGGGCAAATGTGCTAAGTGCTCAAATAATGAGGAAACGATCTGTTGTAATATGAAAAAATTAGCTAGACAGCCTGATTTTATGGTGCAGAAAAGCGTTCTTGAAGAAATTGTAACTAATCGAGGTCATAAAATTTGTTTTTATCCTAAATTCCATCCTGAATTAAATTACATTAAATACTTTTGGGGTGCACTAAAACAATATACAAGGAGCTATTGCAACTACACATTTCAAGGATTACGAAGTATTGTGCCGGAAGCTCTTAATTCTGTGGATGTTATAACGATTAGAAAGCATGCAAGAAGAGCTTCGCGGTATATGGATGCTTATAGAAAAGGATTGTCGCTTGCTGCAGCCGAATTTGCGGTAAAAAAATATAAATCTCACAGGAGAATTCCTGAAAGTATTATTCCTTAACCGCTTAACTGTTTGTTATGATTAATAAAGTTTATATCATATAGGGCAAGATATTTGATTACTAGTTATCTTTTTTTTTTTTTTGAATACCGTTTTTATAATATGAATGTGTAAGGTTTCTTTATTTTAGTTTAGATATCATGATGCATGATTATTTTAGATAATAAGTAGTTTTTCTTGTGGCGCTGGTGTGAATATTAGAGCTCAAGTTGAATTAACGCCAAGATCTGATAATTAGGTAAGTTGTAATATTTTATTTAAGTGGTTTTGCGCAT